ACATTTAGTTGGTGAGATATTTGCCACCAAATCTAGGAATTAAAATTGGTAGGAAAATTTTATTAATTCTCTTTTTCATTTTAGGGAAAAAATGCTGTGGTCTCAAGAAAATGGCACTAATTCAGAGAGCATATAGAGGAAGTAGAAATGGCATTGAGGAAAACAAAATACAGAAAAATATTAGGTCAAGTGAAGGTCCACTGAGGAAATCCATGTTGAGGGCTGTTCATTTTTGAGGATATTGAGGGACTGATTTTCTAGGCTTATGAAAGATAGATAGGAGGATACCAGATGTGTGGAAGAAACTATTACCAAAAAAAGGTGACCAATATAATATCGATAACTATTGACCCATAGGCCTACTTTGCCTTCTGTATAATATTTTAATGAGAATAAGCTACATATGCATCAAGAACATCTTTGAGGATATCAGATGGGAACACGTAGGCTTTTGTAAGTGGTAATTTACAATAGACTATCTTTATTATTACAAAATTGATTGAAAGTAATGAAGTACAGTATTCTACTGTGTGCAGTTTTTCTTGACTATCAAGATTTTTTATTCAGTAAGACAAAAAAAATCTTGTTTTAAAGAGTTTCCTTTAACAAGTTCTCTCAGTGCACATGCCAAACTCAGAAAATAGTATGAAACATGTAACAATGGAGAGAAGTTGGTTCAGTGAACCTTAATTTTTTAATTTGTAGTGAAACATAAAACAGAGATGTAGGTTTGTCAAAGGCATTTCCCATGGTCATAAAGGAGGTCCATTTCAAAATTTAAACTTCAGAAGGACTTTCTATGTATGGTGAGATCTTTCAGATGCTCCTGATTATGGTTGAATGAATGAAAGAAGGAAAAGCATTTATTAACCACCTACTGTGTGCTAAGTAGTATGCTAAGTGATGGATGATTTTGTGCTCATTGTGTCAGTCAACAGGGCAGCCTCCTAAATGAGATCTATACTTCAAAAGAGTTTGAACTATCTGCTCTGGAAAAGCCAAGTGGATGAAGAATGATTATTGTCCAGACTGTTATATTCTGTTTGATGGGAAATGTTCACAGTTTGTCTATCATGATATGTCTCTTGAACAGCCACTGTAAATGCCAAGGTTGTTGAGGCTGCATTTGAATTGGAGGAGGAGAACAAGTTAGATTGCCATTGGGAAATTCTTCAGTTTTTTTTTAATGACCCTAAATCTCATGCTGAATCTAAGGACCTTCTTTTTTTGTTGCTTACGTTTTAGATTATTGATGTCTTTTGTTTTTATATTACAGTAATTTCTGGATATACTCATCTTCCCTACGGTGAATTTTTCCTTGTAGTAGAAATACAATTAAGCAAAACCAATCCCTACGGTGAATTTTTCCTTGTAATAGAAATACAATTAAGCAAAACCAATCAATACAGTGATTTTATCTGACAGCATAGACTACCTTCTGCACTCAAGGGGCCTTATCTCTTCAATGAAAGGAGGAAGGTGCATTTCCTAAAGCCCATCCATCTGAGTACAAGTATTCTTCCAGTGAAGTTGTATGGCTGGAGTCATGGAATACTACAGTTGCTGAAAATTAATACTGAAGACCACCTAAATTGTAGTGAAACAGTGCTTAAGTAAGCTGCAGCACATTATAAATGAGATGTTTCACTGAAATTATATAAAGGATGTCATCAGAGCAGAATCACCTTATGTGAAATCCAAAATCATTCATAAGAATTTGGCTCAGCTGTCTATACTGGAAAAACCGAATGGGTGAAGAATGCCAGCTGTTTAGACGGCATTGTACAATTTGATGGACAATCTGTAGAGTTTGCGTGTTAGTGTTATATCTAGGATAGACACTTGAAAAACATGATTGGAAAAAATGATGGGCTTATCACATAGAGCAAGGGGTAACCAGTGGACATTCAGCATTTACCCTCCATTGGTATGCACATAATGCAAAGAAAATGTGAAGAATGTCGCTAGCATTTTGGGTGGAACACTTGTGAATATATGGGAGAACATAGATGAGAATCACACAGAATGGGCAGACATGGGTCAGTTGACATCTGCATTGTTTGCTTGTCCTCACATATGACTCTCCATCTTCCATCGCCATGCCTTTGCGTTGGTTGTCCTTCATGTCTAGGATGTACTCCCTCCTCATATCTGATTCTTGGAATTCGTATTTCTTTTCTTTTCTTTTCTTTTTTTAAGGCAATTAGGGTTAAGTGACTTGCCCAGGGTCAGACAGCTAGTAAGTGTCAGGTGTTTGGTCTGAGACCGGATTTGAACTCAAGTCCTCCTGATTTCAGGGCTGGTGCTCTATCCACTGTGCCACCTAGCTGCTGCTAGCTTCTTGGAATTCCTTGTTTCCTTCAAGACTCTGCTCATCAGTGCCTTCTATTTGAAGCTTTTTGTTATTTTCCCTCAGTTTTAGTTCCTTCCCTTTCAGAGTTGCATTGTATTTGTTTTGTGTATATTCTCTGTGTACTTATTTATGTCTCCCCTAATAGTGGCTTCTTTGAGGTCAAGGACTGTTTAATTTTTGTTTTCTTATCCCCAATGCTTGGGCCATAGTAGGTGCTTAATAAATCCTTGCTTGCTTTATTGGAGGGAATATTCACATCCATGAGGTCACAGGTCCACTGGAATTGTTTAGTGGTTTTTAGGATACAAGTTTGTGTAGATTGATTTTTTCCCCCAGCAACTTAAATAGAATTACCACTTTATTTTTAATGTTTGAGTTGTGTTTAAAGAAAATTAAAGGTTAGTTATATAAAAATTATATCAATTCTAAACATGAAATTATGGCAATACAGGGACTGATGGTGAAATGTCACAAATAGGAGAAAACCTTTTTGATGATTTTACACAGTTTGTACACAGAAATAAATTAGAGAAATCAACTGGGCTTCACTGTTCTGCAAAGCCATCTGAAACTCTGAGAGATAGCTACTCCTTAATGGTAATGTGTAAATGCAAACTTGTGAAGTCTGTAAAGTGTCTTTTGTGCTTTTGCTAAAGACTCCTTCTTACCATCCTTTATCCTTTTGGTATACCTTACTTTAAATTTCCAACATCCTTATTTTTGTTCCCTAGCTGTCTGCAACTTTTGTTGGGGGTACTGTACAGAGACCTGCTAGGTATAGTCTGTACCTTAGGTCTTTTTCTCCCACTTTTTCACAGTACAGCTGTGATATCAGGTTAGAAAGCAGTTTCTTAAAACTACTCCCTACTAAGATATTGTTGAATGATAATGACTTACTGCATTAATCCTTTAGGGGTATTTCCATTTCAAGAGTACTACTAGAAACTCAAAACCTTGGTCAAAAGGAGTTAATCTCTAATGATGAAATTTCAGTATTGTGCTTAAGATATTCTAGCACTCCTCAAATGATCCAACCACATATTAGATTTACACATAAAAACAACCCTCATTGAAATAAAAATACAAAATGCCTTTTGAAGTAGAGGGCATGTTATATACTTAGAAAGATTTCCTTAACCTAGGCTCTTTGAGATTTTTGACATGACTGTGAGACTCTTAAGGTAGTGGTTGACTGGCTACTTTTTTCATCCTGTTGTAAAATAGGTATAAAGCTAGACAATATGTACTGTATCTCTTTAACCTTGCAGAGGTTGATTAGATTTATGAGAAAAATGTCAATGAAGAACTATAATTTATTGTGAAGTACAAACCATCCCAATTTAAGTTGACTTGAATTTTTATATGGAAATTCAAGTTTTGATTTAAGCTTGTGGTATAGCTACAGAATGGCTGTTAAGGGTTTGGGGAACCTGTGGCCTCGAGGCCACATGTGGCCCTCTAGGTCCCCAAGTGCAGCCCTGTGACTGAATCCAAACTTCACAGAACAAATCCCCTTAATAAAAAGGTGTGTTCTGTAAAACTTGGACTCAGTCAAAAAGCCGCACCCCAAGACCTAGAAGGCTACATGTGGCCTTGAGGCTGCAGGTTCTTCACCCCTGGTTTAGGCACATGATGGGCAGGAGAGCTCTCTGCTACTTAAAGTAACAAGTAAAAGGTAAGATCACACAAGAGCCTCTTTTTTTTTCAGCCCCCTTATTTAATCTTTTTTAAATTTAAATTAAGAACATGTTATTGGTACCTTTTGCTTTTACATCATAGTAATCTCTAAATATAAATCTTGTACCTACTTCCTTTATAATAAAGGAAAATTAACTATATGCAAAATCAGACCATATATCAAATTAAGTCTGATAGCACATGTAACATTTTGTACTCCAGTAAAGTCCTCCACCTCTCTACCACAACCTCTTTATTTTGTATATGAGGGTGACAAAATTGTTTCATACATATGAAGGAAAAGCTAAAATGGCTTATATGACCTGCCTACGGTCATACAGTTTGTTTATGCCTGTGTAGAGCTTAGACCAGAACCATAATCTTTTCTCTCACTTACAATGTTCTTTTCAGTACACCACATTGTAGTTTCAGCACTATTTTTTCTACTTGCTTCTTTGGAAAGTAAATTTTGGTAGCAATAGAGTTGGATTGATTTTTGCTTACTAGCTGTTCTTATGTGACAAGATTGGAGGTGAGAGAGTGATGCTGTCCATAAATTCTACCTAGGTAGGGTCCAAGGTAGAGAAGACTTAGTTATTGTTGTTTATGGTATGCATGTTAATTTCAATTTTGGGGAAGACTTTATTTTGAACTTAAAGGATAAACTTAATGTTTTAGTATATGGTTGTATATTTGAGGAATTTCTTCCACCCAAAAAAGGTAGTGATCTTAGTTGGTGAATTATACACATTTGATTTTTCTCAGTTGCATTCTATACCAATTCACAAATTGTTTCCCTTATTTCATAGGGTTGTATTACTAGAGCTACAAGGGATTTAGGATCATCCAGTCCAGTTCCCTCATTTTATAGATGTGGAAACCTAGCAACATATTCTTAGATGGGTGTGTTTTGAGGGGGGATTGCTTATGTCCCTACAGTTAGCTTTCACTGCTGTGTTTTTCTTTGCAGGGTTCGAAAGATTTTAAACCTGAGAGTGTTTGAAGACGAAAGTGGGAAACACTGGTCAAAAAGTGTGATGGACAAACAGTATGAAGTGTTGTGTGTGAGCCAGTTTACGCTTCAGTGTATTCTGAAAGGGAACAAACCAGACTATCATATGGCGATGCCTACGGAGCAAGCAGAGATTTTCTACAACAATTTCCTTGAGCAGCTTAGAAAGGCTTATAAACCAGAGTTCATTAAAGGTATGTTGTGCCTATAGAATAAGAAGGGGGAAAAAAATGAAAAAAAGGCCTCACTGTGGGAATTATACAAATTTTGGTAGAAGGTTAGTTAGATTTGCTACCTCATCAAAAAAACTAGTAACATGTTAGAAATAAATACTTTTTTCCCTCTGGCAATTTCAATTAAATTTTTTTTTTATTAATTTATTTTGATTTATCAACAATCACTTCCATAAGCTTTTGAGTTTTAAATTTTTCTCCCCCTCTCTCCCCTTCTCCCTCCCTAAGATGGCGCGTAATCTGATATGGTCTATACATATATATTCTTATTAAACGTATTTTCACATTAGTGATTTTGTAAGGAAGAATTAGAACCAATAGAAGGAATCACTAAAAAGAGGAAACAAAACAAAACAGAAGAAAAAAATAGGAAATAGTATGCTTCGATCTACATTCAAACTCCATAGTTCTTTCTTTGGATGTGGATAGAATTTCAATTTTTTTTTGTTGATTATTTTTAAACTGTGATACTAAATTATTGTTCAGGTTGCAGTTAGTGCTTTTTAATTTGTTTGTATTGTTTTCATTGTTTGCCATATGTCCTTTTGGTCCTTCATACACCCTTTCAGCCATTTAAAATATTGGGGGAAATGCTTTAGGTAATAGAAGAATTTTTATCTTTTAAAAAATTTGTTGTAGTGTTTTCTATTTCCATTACTGTCCTACTGGAATAGAACATTGCTATTCCATGAGGAAGACTGCTCTCCATTTCTTTCTCAAATATTCCTGTCCATTGTCAAATATGATGGCTACATTTTTGATAGCCCTTTAGAAGTTAAATTTTTAAATGTCTTGTTTTTGATATTGTCAGGAAATATATACATGTGTGTCTGTATATGTATATATATGTATACACTCAGACAAATATTATACACACTATATATAAAACAATTATGATATTGGTAATTCATTCCATACCTTGTGTTATGAAAAGAGCTGTGTATTTATGTGATTATAATATTTGCCTGAGCTATCACTTGCTTTCTCCTACATCTATAGAGAAGGTTGATTTCCCTGAATAATTGCTTTTTGAAGAAGACAGTCCTTTCTCCCTACTGGACTCATTGTCTATATTGGAACTAGAATATTCAGTAGGAGCTTATGTACCAGAGTTCTAACTGAAGTGCCAGTAGAAGGTAAACCTAAATTGTCTATTCTGGCTCCTAATCAGAATGGCAGAGTAAGAGGTTGCAAGGGAGCCAGGCTTCTCAAATTCCTCTAAAAAGCCAGTCAGTCATTAAATAATTATTAAGTGACAGCTATGTTCCAGGCATTGTGCTAAGCCCTGGGGATACAAAGAAAGGTAAAAGACGATCCCTGACTATATGCAAACAGTTATGTGCAGACAAGATTATATATAGGATAAAGTGGAAACAGCAAACAGAGAGAAGTCACTGGAATCAATGGAGATCAGGGAGGGCTTCCCAATAGAAGGTGGGATTTTAACTGGAACTTCACAGAAGCCAGGAAGTAGAGATTAGGAGGGAGAGAATTCTAGACATGGAGAAATGCTCTGAATTGAGGGATGAAGTGGAACAAGGCACTGGTCCTTCTGTAGTCTGTCAGATATGTGCATATTGTCTCCTTATCAAACTGTGATCTTCTTGAGCCTGTATGTATGGTCATGGATTTTTTTTTTTTGCCTTTGTACCTCCAGCGCTTAGCATAGTGCCTGGCACAGATAGAGTAACCACTTAAATGATCATTGACTGACAAAAATAAAGCATAGTAAATTATATTTTAAAATTCTGGTTCCCAGTTTCCTTGTCAATATCAATATCACTAGATAAATACATAAGCAGTAAAGCTACTTGAGGAGATACCAACAGCAAAAACCAAATTCACTGGTTTTGGAGGTAGATGTAATAGCATAAGAACACTTAAAAGAGTTACCAGAATTAGGGAGGATATCAGGCTGTCAGTTACAAAGTTAATAATTGAATTCTTTTCCAAAATGTTTGTGAGAAAAAGTCTATTGTCTGTTCCATTGGTGGAATGGTTTCTCGTGGTAAAGCCCTTTTTTATCCTCTGCTTTTTTGTCCCTTTAAAAAAAAAGTTGCTTCTTAACTCTTTCCAACTGCCCCTCCAAATAATCATTTTCATCACTACTGGACCTAAATCAGTAATGTGGGATGTTTCTATTTGCTGAGCCCTCAATGCCTGTTTACTGGGGGAGGGAAATCTATCAGAGGTTAACTAGGAATTTTTTACCTGGGGCAAAGATGATGGAGGCATGAAGAAAGAGTGTGGTAGTGTTGATGACAGTATAGTGGTAGATCCAGCTTCATAAGGTGGGGTACAGCTCATCCTTCCCATGAAAAGTCATGAGCTGGTGAAAGAACACAAGGTGAGAGGTACAGAGATTGTGATTTCTTAACTATTACAAGGGAAATACATTCCTCAGATAGATGCCTGGTATAAAACCCAGGTTGCTTCATTCTAGTTATAGTTTTGAGAATTATTGAAGTCATGGGCAGGAAAAATTAGAATAGACATTCAGAGCTAGGGAATGAATCCTTTTTTTTGAATCAGCTCTGTCTTGTTTATGGTAAGTAGTTCTGTTTCAAAGTAGGCAAAGAGTTAATGTGACATTGAAGAGTTATACTACACCTTCCCTTAGGTGTTGTTGTGATATATGACTCTGGAGTCTCAAAGTCTGTCAGTAGTGCTTAGACTCTAGAAGGTTCCACTAGGATGGAAGTACTTTTAGTATAATCTTGACAACAGACTATATCTGCTTCATAAGGGAAAGCCTTGCTAAGTACATATAGGCTCATCATCAGGAAGCTGGCTACGTGGTGATGAAGTATTGAGTTGTGTCAATGCATGAAACAAAGAAAAACACCCAAAATAGTTCTCAGTGTTGTGCAGACCCTTTCTGCAGTGACAGTGGCAGAGTGGTAGAAAAGGATACACAAAGGTGTTAGGAATCATATAGTTTTTAGATTGTTTTTTTTCTTTCTTTAACACATTCATTAATATCTTTAGTTCTTATGTAATTTCCTATGATCTGACTTTTTTTTTTGTGCTGTTTGCTCATGATCCCAGCCAATTATTTGACTTTTAAACTTTTTATTAAGATAGGGGTCTGCTTCCAGGGCAGAGAATGTACTGTCCCAGGCTTTGGGGGTTTTGTTTGGTGTTTTCAGAGATACTTCTAGGGACCCATAAATTTTCAGTCCTTCCAACATGGTATAATCAAAGGAGAAGTGTTTACTCCTTTCCTGGGCTGTGCTCTGGTGTATGAGTGACCACAAGCACTCTTTTCTGCCTTGAAACTGTAAGGAGGATTGTCTCTTCACTGCCACCACAAGCTCCACCACGCCAGCGCTCCTTCTCACCCCAGGACTGCCACCTAGAACTGCGACCCAGATCAAAGCGTGGGCAAAGCAGGAGAATTCTGTCTCAGTGCCAGCAAAGAGATCCCTGCAATCCCCCTCTGATCAGCTGCTCGATCCCCCTACTGTCTGTGGGCCGAGAGCTCCCGGAAGCACCCCGGACTGGGGCCAGACTGAACTCCTCTCTCACCTCAGTCGGACAGACCTTTTCTACTGACCTTTTAATTGTCTTTGGTGTTTGTGGGTTGAATAGTCTGGAAACTGCCACAGCTTACCATGATTCAGTCCCCTTAGGCCTGCTTCATGTTCACTGAGCCTGGTCTTTGCCTGCATGGCCTAGTCTGAACTGGGCTCCTTTCCCAACAACCATCCAGGTTGTCTTAGGCTGGAAATTTGTTTCACTCTGTCTTTTTGTGGGTTCTGCTACTCTAGAATTTGTTTAGAGCCAGTTTTTACAGGTATTTGGAGGGGTTTAGCGGAGAGCGCAAGCAAGTCACTGCTTTTACTCCACCATCTTGGCTCCACCCCTATTATGTAATTTTCAAAGCTCACTTGGCACTCCTCCTGGGGTCTGCAGTTCTTGAAGTTGGAATTGAGCAGAAGAGGGGTTTGAGACAAAATTATTCATTTAATTCATCTGCCAGATGGCAAAGGGTATCTGTGTGACCAGATGCATGAGAATGTATGGAGGAGTCACTCTTATCTAAGAGATAGAATTAAACTCATGAAAGGCAACATCTGTGAGAATTGAAGGAGTTGACAGATAGTAGCCTTGAATAACATTGAAAAATAGTTCTGCCAACTTTGCAACTTTGTACTTAATAGAGCTCTTTTTCTTCAACCTTTTCTTATTTCTGATATGGAAAAAAACAGCTTTATTCTTTAAATTAGATTTTTTTTAAAGTTAGATTTTGATCAGCATTTAGAACATAAAACAACACAAAATGGGAAAGCAGGTAAGGCAGATTTTAGGTACAGGTAAAGAATTCTTTTTCCACTACAACGTGGAGCCACATTTGGACTCTGAGCAAATTCAGGAGGAAATAGTGCTTTGTGTTATATGAGGAAGTTGAAATGGCACTAATTAAATAAAGACGAGAAGAGCAGGTAGAATAGATCAAGTATCTAAAGCTATGCTGGAGGTAGTAACACTGCTTTGAGACCATTGAAAGATTAAGTTTAAAGATATCTGAAATAGTGGGGAGTGTGTCAAAGATATGAAAAAGAATCTTGGATCTTGTTACCAACAAAAAAAGATGATTGAGAGAATATTGAGAGGTAGAATAGCAGAATAGCAAGAAGAACTACAACTAAGCTCACCCACCGTATCTCTTCCACAGAGATCTAAAAAGCTGTAAGAACAAGTCTTGATCAGGAAATCCAAGAAAAAAATCATAGTGAGTCACATTTCTAGCCCAAGTGAGCATAGGGAGAAAGTCAGAGAGGTCTTCAGATACTGAGGTCAGGATCTGGCCTGGGGTGCACTGTATGGAATATTCTACTGTCCAGGAACTGAAAGAGGACCAAGGGTGTGTGTGTACTAGGGCAAGAAGAGGTCCCAGACCTATACTAGGGATCCCTGACCTTGTGCAGGATGTGGGAATAGCTGCTAAGTGGCAGTTC